GAGGGTAAGAGCAACCACAAGGGAAATGATTGTCTCTCTACAGGCTCTTCTCTGACAAGCACCAATTATTTGCCTTGGGACTTAGAGTGAAATCTTCCCTCAAGTGTGTATGAATGAGAATGGCATCCATTTTCCAAACACAACCTGGGATCTATGAACCTGCATCAGACAGTGTCGTAACAAGTAGTCTGTCTCCTCTTTGCAACAGGCCAGAAAAATGCAGACAGGACCAAAGCTAAATGTGAAATGGTTAGATTTAAAGAACTGACTTTCTTGCCTGATAGCATACAAGTTTAAAGACCATTTTCTTAACGACAGGAAAACAATGGCTCCCTTCCAAACTTTTAACTGTTAGACCCATAGTCTTGTTTAGGCAGATTTTTTGGACATATTTTAATATAAAAAGTGATTGAACCATAATCTTTTTCTAAATTTTTTATATCCCTTTTTCAAACTAGGAAAGGACAGGTGGTTACGAGATTTGGAGTCAGCCTGTTTCAAATCCCTGTTCATTCACATCTCCTAATTTCTTTATAATGTTTGCATAACCATAAAATAAGAATAATATCCTACTACTAATAGCACCTATGTCATAGGCTTCTCCCATGAGTGACAGTCATAGCTTCATGGCCTTAGTAGGGGACATCCCAAAGTTCCTTTTTTGTACACAAAGTTTGAACTAGATCTCAGTTTTGAATTATTTCTGTCTTTCATGTTATTTGTCTCCTCCAAGCAAATGTTACAACACAGAACTACTTGGTTTTTCACTCCTCTGTCTATAGAGGCAAGTCAATATTCTAAAATCTTATTAAATATAGCTTTAAATTTTTTTCTACACTACATTAGAAATTTAAACATGTTTCAAATTGGTTTTTGTTTTATAAAATGCAAAATGTTTAGTTCTTTATAGGGTTGAAATATAGAGTACATACACTGATATCATATTTTCAGAAATCCACATTTCCAATTTGCTTCTTTTGCTGTGTATGGTCAGAGGGTACACTTAGATGACATAGATCAGGCTGAAACTTTCATGGAATTGAACTCAGGGCCTGGCACATGGAAGGCAATCATTCTACCACTGACTTATATTCTAACATCCCCTGCCTACAAATATTTTAAAGTTAGCTTAACTGTGGATCTGTTTCTCTTATACTTCTCTTATGCTCTTCTCTTCCATTTGCCTTTCTTGTTCCCAAATTTCTTTTTTTTTTATTTTATTTTTTTGAGAGAGAGCGAGAGAGTTTTTTTAGTATTTATTTTTTAGTTTTCAGTGGACACAACATCTTTTTGTATGTGGTGCTGAGGATCGAACCCAGGCCTCACGCATCCCAGGCAAGCCCCCCCAAATTTCTTATTTGCTCTATAGATTACCTTAGTCCTGATTTTAATTAAATGTCAACTTAAATCTATTATATTTTCCCATTAAAAAAATCAAGTTTGGAAGGCAGTTTATGCTTTTTATATTAAGAATTAAACATTTTAAAAGGGTCAGAAGTTAACATAAGTATTACCTTGTTAGCACATGAAGACTCAACCACTTATGATCTTCAGTAAAAGCTCTTATCCTAAATTTTCTTCCAATCTTATTTCTGTTGTACAGTTATTTTAATTATATACATATAATCTAGTAAGTGTAAAACTGAATGATAATAAGCAAACAACTGACATTGTTAGTTTGAAATTCAGTATTTTGTACCACTTTAACTCACAAGGGTTGTCATAGAAAAAAATCAAGAAAAAACTTCAGGTAAACTTCTGTTTTAAGACATTTTAACTATGCATATATTATGCATTAGAGGGCCTATTAACAGGAAATAGATATTTTTAAAAACATCACAGCATTCAGGTATGTGTATTTAAAAGCCAATAAGATTATAAAGAAACTAAAGAGCACTTGTTGGAATTACCCAAGAATTATGCCAGAAACAGAAAAAGGGGAAGTAGGGTAGGGGATGGGGTGGAGAAACAGAATGAGAGAGACAAACCTGAGTCCTAGAAAGTGCCAGGAATAGTAAAACTTACTCTAAATAAAGTCCCTCATCTTAATAAGAAAAACCAGTCCCCCAAAACAAAAAACAAAGACCATTAGAGAACTATCACTTTATTTCAAATTCAGATCTTATCCTAAATTTGACCTGAAATTCAATCACTTTTTCACTTAAAAGCAGGTTTTAACAAATGGATTTGAGAAGAGGAAGTCTATGCAGGAAGAATGTGGAGAATCAGTTACAGACAGAACATAGAATTTTTTCAGGGCTACTCCCTCTGCTCCCCATCCCTACCCCTCACCAAAAGTCTAGCTATACAAAGAGAAGAACAGAGATATACAAACTAATTGGATAGACTCATCTTTAAAAATGAATTTCAAAAGAAATTCCCACCTTTCTCAAATTTTATTTCACAGAATTAAAAAGCTTTATATTATAGCATTAAGTTAAAAAATAAAGGGCCACAAAATGCAAACACTCTCAAACTTAACACTGAATGTTAAGTATGCCATCAACACACCAAAATGGAGATTATAATTTGTTTGAAGAAAACTACAGGACTTTTAAAAATTGGCAGCCAGTTAAAAAGAAAGAAAGAAAAAGAACTGACAACCAATAGATGCTTTTACAGGTTAAATCTTGTTGAAGGTGCCTTAGCCCCTCAGTACACTTTGATTTATTTAAGCTCACCACATTTCTCTTAAATACACTCCATTAACAAGAGATAGACTGTGATCTTAGGCTTGAGGCAAGACATGAAACACAATCTTTCAAGAACTTCATTCATTCTCTGACCAGGTGTCTTGAGCACACCCAAGTTACCAGTTACTTATCTGAGTTCTGTGAAGTTTTATTCAAATCAATAGCATTGCTCTACAATAGCAGGCTGTCACTGAATCACCCTAGCAGCCCAATGATTTGACTGACCCTTCCAAGTTCAGATATACAACAGGAGTGAAAGTTATCAGAGAAATGATAAAAAACCTTCAGGTTAAGTATGAGGAAGCAACTCAAAGATACCTCTTGCCTGGAACCTGGCAAACAAAGTAGATAAAAACAAAGTAGGTTTAAAAGATCACCAATGGCTAAAATGGGAAATAAGAGAAAAATGAATCAAGATATCAATTTAAGATTCTAAATATGTCATGCATCTATTCAAATAATAATCCTCAGATATTATATACTAACAAATTATTAAATCTGATAGGACAGTCCACCCCCCATATATTTCTTCAGTAAAGACAGAATCTGCACATTGACATGACCAGCTTTCCATATCCTGTTGGTGAGACCCTATCTTTAATCTACAGCCATGATAAAATGTCCCAACATATACAAACTGAGCTCAAACGGTGACTAATGACCATTAATCCCCCTATCTTCAGTAATCTGCCCCTCCAGTCATTTATCACTCTGACACTTCACTTTACACACGTGAATAAACTTTAACTGAGAAGGTGAATCAACAAAAATCTCAAAGGTATCTGAAGCTGTAAATTAAACTAGGGGGAGACAGCGCAAAGAGAGACAAATAGAGAGATCAGATCTTAATGTTTTTGATTTGCATCCATCACTGGGGGTAGGGGGGGAAGAAGCTATTCAATCACTCAGTTATGCAAACCAAGGGAAAAGCTGCCTAACAGAAAGGAGAAGCTGAGGTGGGGAGAGGTGGCCCCAAAGAGTTAGTTTAATCTACTGATCCATCCACTGTGACTGACATATATGAGATATGAGACTGACCCTTCAGTTTCTGTTTTCTTTAAAGGAATAATAATTAATGAATTTCTTATTTACTTCAAATGTTCCTAGTAACTTTCAGCCAGGAAGTACATCCAATGGATTTCAATTATTTTAGCAGTTTATCTGCCATAGGTTAGCTGATGTTGTTTTTTTTCTTTTCATATTCCATTAATTATTTGGCGTCAGTAAAATCCTTGCTCAAAACATAATGGATCACCATAAACCAAAAAGGTTCAAATTAACATTCAAAACGATTTCATAATTATGCAAATTGAGTGACTCTAACCTATAGGCCCTGATGCAACTTGAAGCTCAGCATGGACTATAAAAATTCCCTGAGGTACAGTGTGTGTGTGTGTGTGTGTGTGTGTGTGTGTGTGTGTTAAGGCCTGAAATTGGATCCATGATTGAAACCAGAATCTACCTAAAGGAAAGAAACAAAAGTTGAGTCGTGGCTCGGTTCACCCATAATAAAAAAGTTTCTTAGGAACTACAAGAAAACTATTTCCAAGTGTACTCTTGCCAGAAGTTTCCCGTAGCAGCATCTTTCCAAAACTTCATATGGAGTTTCAGTACGATTTAATTAATCCTAAAAATCCCAATTCTGTTTTCCCTCGCCAAAGAGAATTCCCAGGCAACTAACAGTTCCCTTTCAGATATGTGCAATCGCCTGTTTTTATAAACTCAGTCAGGCAGTGGCTGGTTTATATCCTATCATAAGAAGGAGTTATTTCCTGAAGTTTCTTCAGAATCGAATTTAATTACAGACTTTGGTTACATAAAACAACTACTAATAACCCCTTGTGCTCTGAAGAGGAGGGGCGGATTGGAGGACCAGGTTCTGGAATCCTGGCGAGTCTGTGGGTCACAAATCCCAGCCCATCTACCTCTCATCCGCCGCTCCGCTCCGGGAACCAGCCGGTGGATGATACTCATTTGCATTGGTCCTGGGGGCCCAAGCTCACCGCCAACCGCTGCCTCCTCCCACCCTAGTGCTGAGACCTAGCTTTTGCCCAGAGTAGGGCGTGCCCTGAACTTGGTGAAAGGCCGAGGTCTGCGAGGAGGTTTGGGGGGAGTTTGGGGGATGGGGGGAAAGAGACAAACCTCAAACCCTAACTAGGAGCCTTTTCGCCTAAAAGTTGTGCAGTGATCCAGCCCCATCCGACCTTAGAAGGGAGAGGTAACCAAAATGCTGTTCGCGGTTTGATTCTGAAAAGTGGAGAGGGGTCGAGCAAGGGAGATCAAGGGTGAAGAAAAGACGCGGATTACCTGAACAGAGACATATTAATCCAAAGAGGTAAAAGTGAGCAGGCTCCGCGATCATTGTCCTCGGGTGGATCCTGCATACAATCTCATGCCAAGAGAATGGAGTAGAAATGGGGTTCCCAAATTTATGAAGCCACACAACCACACAAACCTACACAAAGGCTTAATATAAGCAACGTGGGTCAATCCGCCAGGAGTTTTCAGGGCAATTACTTGTCGACCCTTCCAGACGATTGTCAATATCTCAAGAGCCCTCTGCAAAGGAAGAATTCCTAGGCTTGTCTTCTCCGGCCCCCGGGTTTCCGAAGAGGCTCAGCCACTTCCAAGGACCATCCAAACCGAACAACAAAGAGCCGAAGCAGAGGATCAGTTGTGCCGTTTCCTGCCTCCACGGTCTTACTGAGCCTCCCTGCGTGCGCCCCCACAACGTGTGCCCGAGCGCCGCTGAGAGGGCAGGCGCGGGGCGGCAAAGTTGGGGTGTGAGACCGGATTAAGGAGAGCCAAAAAGTGTTTCTCCGTGTACAGGCGAGCCAAGCCAGCAGCTGGCCACCCGCGCAGGCGGCGATGGCAGTCAAGATAGCGGCTGCAGCTCCGGAGCACCGGCTCGGGGTGCCGGGGGTGTGCCTGGGTGACTCCGCGCGCAGGAGGCGAGCGAGGGGGCGGTACGGCGACAGCGACTGCCTGGGCGGGCCCTTGTTCCCATCACTTGGGGGATGAGGAGGGCACTGGGGACAGCAACAGGACCACGGACACACGCACGCCTTCCGGGCGTCCCCAGCTCCGTGCAGCGCCCAACATCGCCCCTGGTCCTTCTTTTGGGGTGCGCGCTCACGGCACCCCAAACTCTGCTGGAGCCCAAACTTCCTGGGGGTGGCTACTCACACCCCTGGCTCTTGGAAGCTGCAGATAGGCAGCTCTTGGACCCCCCCCAGGGGTGGTAGAGAGGGGCCAGGAGGATGCTGCTGCGGGTGGAAGCGACTGCCGCCGAGGCTCGCCCGATCTCTGCCGAGATCAGCAGCGTCTGAAGTTTCTGCTCTCACGCAGCCTCCTCTCAGGCTCAATGCTTGTGGGTTTCCCCCACTGTCCCCGCGGCTCCCAGTTTCCTCCCTCTCCAACCGGCCCGAGAATACTTAAAGGGGCCGTACGGTCCTCTCCATGCCTCACTTTATGCTCTCCACGCATCGGCCCGGCAAGTTCTGCTTGTTAATATTTTCATTCACAAGCCAGGGGCGTCCGACTGCGCCCTCAGGTGAGAATCCAACTGCTCAGGAGCAGAAATCCAAGTGAAAGAGAACTTGTCTAGTTTCTCGTGCCATCCCTATCTCCCCTGCACCTTTCTCCAAATGGAACCTCCCAGCCAAAGACTTCAAAAATCCTCCAGGTCCAGTTTAACCTCTTCCTTACCACTTCCAGGACTGGAATAAACTCTCAGATGACTCCACCCCCAGGCTTCCCTATCTCCCCCTTCCCACTTTTTTCTTTCATTTTATTTTTTAAATCAAATTTGAGCAAGGAACCATGAAGACAGGAAGTAGACAGAGGATGGAGTTTATCACTAGACGGGGGCTTCCAATACAATTCCCTTGCATAGTTTGAAGTTAAGGGTCATGTAATAAAAGACTTTCCACTTGGAGGGGCTGAGGGGCTGAGGTAGGGCCATGGGGTCCTTTGGGTGTTTTATTCCAGAGCCTCTCCTTCAACTTCATAATCTCTACATACAAGAAATTAACAATGAGGAAGCAATTAACCAAGGGGGACCAATTGGGGATGGGGGTGGGGGTTGATCCTTTATTAGTCCAGCTAAAAGATGGGAAATAAAACTAAAAGAATTTAAACTCGTGGTATGTGCTCTTATGACAAGCAGCTCAGCATTTTTGAACCAAGACATGTGGGTTTCACAGCCAATTCAGCGCCCCTGGAATTCCAACCTGCCAGTTACTAGCTCTGTGTCCATGCCAGGTCTGTTTTCTCCTCTAAAAACAGAGACTATAAAGATACTTCATGGTATTAAACCATACTAAAGAAAAGCAAACCTGGCACAACTCATGGGCTTTTGTTCATTCATTCATTCATTCCTCCTCCTATTAAATAACACTCTATGGAAAATACCTAACACATGTTGAGTGTTTGGTCATCCGTAGATATTTGTACTTAGAGCATTCTTATTAACAAATTGTTATCTACAAAGATATGTACAATAACTGTAAAATGACTGTTCAGTATCTAGCAGGATATTTAAGAAGCTGCTTTCATAGTTGCCTCTGGAGGGAATAATTCCACAATGAATGGGCAGGAGAGGAGGATTTTATCTTTTCTGTGTACTGTTGTGTTCTTCAATTTTTTTTTTTCCTGACAAAGTGAGTTTGTAAATTATGTAATAAAAAAATAAAATTTTTAAAGTAAGCTGGTTGTTCATTTTGGTTGCAGCTGGTTCAACCAATGACCTCACAGCGACATTCTGTGGAAAGAAATTCTGGTTAACAGCACCTATCTTTGAAAGTGAAAGATAGTTTAATCCTGAGGAAGCTGACTGAAAATTCAGTAAACAGGCTGGAGATAAGAATTCAAAGACTCCAACCAGAATCTTTTCAGCAATAAAAACAAGAATGTGCAGTAAATACTGAAAAACGGACATTGATTTGGTCTTTGTGAAAGAATATTTAGTGAGAAACATAGAATATAACTTTTCTTGGTATAAAATGTGCTTTTAAGATAAGCTTAACTAGTAATAAAAAAAATAAATAAGCTAAAATATGGTGACAGAAAGGGCAAGGCAGAGAAAATCCCTCAAATCCTCATATCACTTAAGTGCATTTTAAATAAAGGTATTGAACTTCTAGTCAGTAGAGGATGTGTACATTTATTTTTCTTTTCTTTTTTATGGTATGGGAATCAAACCCAGAGCCTCAGGTATGTTAACCCCATGCACTACCACTGAGCTACACTTCCAGTTCAAAGATATATACTTTTAATATTCAGTGAAATATTTATACAAATACCTATTGCATTGTTCCCCTAAGTGGATCTCCTGGTCTCTGGCTGTTTGCTAAGTAGATTTCTCAAGATCTTTTTCACCATTTCTAACATTACCATTGAATGGACATAATATTAGAACTGTGTTTATTTCTCAACTTCAGAAAGCAATGTGCATCCAGCTCATCTATTCTACCCATACAGATATTATCCAGGAAAGTCAGCAGTCAATATCTTCCAGCATTCTGGAAGATATTATGGCCAGTCCCTGATGAGAACCAGCATCATCAGTTTACTTATGTTGGCCTTTTCTTCTTCTCCCACTTTGTCCAAAGGGTATGTTGTTCTGTCAGTTTTTATCAGTAAAGCTGCCATCTAAAGATAAAAATTTGTATTCCAAAGGTATTAGGAACCTATAACAAGTGAAAGTCAATGAACCTGAGAATATTCTTAACTACATCCTTTCACTCTGTCATCCACTCTTACTCATGCAAATAAACACTGAGTAAACAACATCTACGCTCAAGTAAAGGATACCAATAATGCAAGATGAAAATATTATCCTATTTTCCAGGCTCTGAGAGCTCTTATTATGGGGAGGTACACAAAAAATAGAAGAGACTCCATAATGGATTTTGTCTGAAACAGAAACAAAGTATCATTGGGGTGAAATGACAGTTGACACGTTTCTGGGGATGGACTGATATAGCAACTTCTTCCCTTTCCCCTTTTGAGCCTGAACATTAAATTACCTAGAAGGATGCACAAAATGCTCGATGTATCTATATGAATGTGTATGCAACTGTAAATATGTACACATGGATAGGAAACACACACAACTTATCTTCAAGCAACTGAGGTTGTACAATGGACATCTGACTTGTTCCTTCCTGGTTAGGAGACACAGCAAGTAAGGAGAAAGTGTCTTAATTTGCACTCAGTAATTCTATTCTGATCACTATGCTCAGAATGAATGATGGGTCTTGAAATTCCATTTAGAGGATTCTCATCTCATTTGAAGCCTATAAAATTCAGGATCCCTAAAAGGTCTCTTTGAGAAGCTTGAAGAAACCCTCAAAATAATACATTCTAGTAGTTCCATGAAAGGCTTTTTGACAAAATTCTAAAGCAACAGTGATCTGCTAGGTTGCTCTGATCTGAGTTTATCTTTCATAGGAGTAGCTGCAGGAACTCAGGAAATAACAAAGCTCCCAGAGCCTCTCCAGGGATCCCAGATAGCACTTACTCAGATCAGGAGAAGCGGAGTAGAGTTCCTAAGGAAACTACAAACCAGAACATCTGCTGCCTTTCCTTCTTAGCATGAGGCCTTAGAATCAAACAGAGCCTGGGATGCAAGCCACAAGTTCCAGCAGATCTGGTGAGCAGATCTGGCAAGAAGTACACATCAAGGCTGTGCTGAATACTCCAAGATACCATCCCTCAGGGTACAACAGCTAGTTTAGCAATTTTTACACGAAATTGCTGAATAACCTGTTTAATCCTTGGTATCTAAATTAAAGGCCTAAAATGAACATGTGAATGTTTTCTCAAATTTGGAAATAGAAGCCCCATGTCAGAGAGTAACCTACAGTAGCCCTGGTCATAAGGAGAAAACTCATACTGGAGGGAGACGGAACATCTACTGTCCTTCAAGAAACCAGGCCTATTTAGTTTCTTTTATATGTATGCAGGGCACATTTTAACAGACTTATTTTTATTTGCTTCTCTGTCCTTTAGAAGAGATAATTATGTGCCCCAAACCAGAAACCACTGAGAGAGAAAAAAGATTCCCTGGGTTATACATCTTCATTTAAAGACTTAAGTCATTATAAACAGGACCATGTCTTCAACACAGAATTTTTTCCCCCCAGTACTAGGAATTGAACCCAGGGGCACTTAACCACTGAACCACATCTCCAGCACTTTTACTTTGTTGTTGTTATCGTTTATTTTGAGACAGGCTCTCACTAAGTTGCTTAAGGCCTTGCTAAATTGCTGAGACTACTTTTAAACTTGTGACCCTCCTGCCTCAGCCTCCCAAGCTGCTGGGACGGCAGGCCCTTGTCATCATGCCTGGCTTTAATA